TCGTGGGCTAACTCCTTAGCTTCACTACTATCCTTTACCACTTCTTGCTCAGGCGACTCATTTATGGTTGTTTGTAATGATTCTACCCTCTTTTCCTCTACAGATGCTACAGCCTCCTTCTCCGGAGATTCTACTCTCTCTTGTTCTACAGGTGCTACATCCTCCATCTGGGGAGATTTTGCTCTTGGTTTCTCTTCAGGAACCTGTTTCGCAGGAGATTCCATACTCCCTGCGACTTCAGGTATTACAACATCCTTCTCAGGACTTTCTATTCTCTCTTCCTCTTCAGCTACCACAGCCGCCATTTCAGGAGATTCTGCCCGTCGTCCCTCTTCAGGTACTACAACCCCCTTCTCAGCAGATTTCTCCCTCTCTTCTTCTTTAGCTACTACTGTCTCCTCAGGAGATTCTGGTCTCGCCTCCTGTTCAGGTACTATAGCTTCCCTTGTCGAAGATTCTGCACTCTCTTTACCTTCAGCCTTTAGAGCCTCGTCAGAAGATTCAGCCCTGTCCTCCTCTTCAGGTACTACAACCTTCTTCTCAGGAGATTCTGCCCTCGCCTTCTCTTTATGTACTACAACCTTCCTCACCGGTGATTCTACCCACTCCTCCTCTTTAGGTGGTACAGCCTCCTTCTCATGAGATTCTACCCCTTCTTCCTCTTTAGGTACGACAGCCTCCTTCTCATGAGATACTGCCCTCTCTTCCTCTACAGGTGCTACAGTCGCTTTCTCAGGAGATTCTGGTCTCTCTTCTTGTTCAGCTACTACAACCTCCTTCTCAGGAGATTCGACCAACTTCTCCTCTTCAGATACTAGAACCTTCTTAGGAGATTCTGCCCTCTCTTCCTCAACAGGAATTTCAGCCTCCTTCTCAGGAGATACTGCCCTCTCTTCATAAGGTACTACAGCCTCCTCCTCGGGAGGTCCTGCTCTCCTTTCATCTACAGGCATAGTATATTCCTTCACAGGAGAGTCTACTGTCTGCTCGTCTCCGGAGACTGAAATCTCATCAATAGATGGTTGTGTGACCACTTGAACCACAGGTGTGACAGTAATTCCGTCAGGGGTAACTTCACTCTCCTTGCTGGGAGATTCTGTGCTTTCATCCTGTTCAGGTACTACAGCCACCTTCTCAGAGATTTCTGCCCTTTCCTCCTCTCAGCGACTACAAACCTCCTTCTCAGGGGTTCTACCAACTCTTCCTCTTTAGTACTACAGCCTCCTTCTCGGCAGATTTCGCCCTTTCCTCCTCTTCGGATACTACAGCCTCCTCAGGGGATGCTGCCTCTCTTTCTTGTTCAGGTACTACAACCCCCTCAGGAGATTCCACCTTCTCTTTCCCTTCGGGTACTATAACCCTCTTAGGAGACTCTGCCCTCTGTTCATCTTCAGGTAGTACTACAGGAGTCCTATCTCTCTCTATATAGGATTCCCTCACTTCCTTTCACTGTCTATTTCATCCCTCTATGCAACTACCTCTGGCTGTTGGGCATGATGATTCAATCTCTGGATCTAGATCACCCCTTTCCTCAAGGCAACTTGAATCTTCTACTACTTTTCCCCAGACTCCTCTGTGCCTCTTGCCATCTTCCAGCAGCGTGCATGGACGTCCCTGCTCTGAACTTTATTTTCTCTTTGCCTCTGGCGATTCTAATTTCTGAAGTACATCGGGGGACTACCTTCCTATCTCATACCACCGAGCATCTTGCATAAATTTTTTGTCACTATCTGCTTTCTTCATCTTTCTGGCTTACTTAATACGACAAGTTCTTCTTTGCATTGTTGGTTCAATTTTCAGGTTCTTTTATCGCCCTTTGGTCAATAAACTGTGTACCCTCAACAGATTTAACCACAGGATTCTATTGCAATTTTCAGGTTTCCTTCGTGTGCTAACGATTCCTTTAGCTTCCACTACTATCCTTTTACCACCTTCTTGCTCAGCGCGACTCAATTTATGGTTGTTTGTCATTGATTCTACCCTCATTTTCTCTACAGATCTACAGCCTCCTTCTCCGGAATGATTCTATCTTCTCCTTGTTCTAGCCGGTTTAGCATCCTCCATCTGGAGATTTTGCTCTTTGTTTCTCTCAGGAACCTGTTTTTGGAGGAGATTTCCATACTCCCTGCGACTTCCGGTATTACAAACATCCTTTCTCAGGCCTTTTATCCTCTCTTCCTCTTCAGCTACCACAGACGTGTCCCTGCCATTTCAGGAGATTCTGCCCTTCCCTCTTCAGGTACTACAACCCCCTTCTCAGAAGATGTCCACCCTCTCTCTTCTTTAGCTGCACTCTCTCCTCCAAGAGATTCTGGTCCTCGCCTCCTGTTCGGTACTATAGGCTTCCTTGTCGAAGATTCTGCAGTCTCTTTACCCGTCGCCTTTTAGAACCTCGTCAGGAAATTCTGCCGTCTCCTTCTCTTTTATGTACTACATCGCTTCCTCACCGGTGATCTACCCACTCCTCTCTTAGGTGGTACAGCCTCGCTCTCATGAGATTCTACCCCTTCTTCCTCTTTAGGTACGACAGCCCTGGGCCTTCTTATGAGATTCATGCCTCTCTTCCCTAAGCAGTACTGAACAGTCATCTTTCTCAGGAGATTCTGTGTCTCTGTCTTCTTGTTCACGCTAGTAACAATCTTCTTCTCAGGAGATTCAAGCCATCAACTTCTCCTCTTCAGGTACTAGACAGCTTCTCAGGAGATCTGCTCTGCTCTTCATAAGTACTACAGCCTCTCCTCGGAAATCCTGCTCTCCCTTTCATCTAACAGGCATAGTATATTCCTGTCACAAGGAGAAGTCTAACATGGCTGCTCGTCCCTCCGAACTGGAATCTCATCATGGATGGTTGTGTGATCACTTGAAACATCAGGTATGGTGACAGTAATTTCTGTCAGGGATAACTTCACTGCTCCTTGCTGGGAGATTCTGTGCTTTCATCTTGTTCAGGTAGCTACAGCCCCTTTCTCAGGAGATCTCTGCCCTTCCTCCTCTTCCGCTACTTACAACCTCCTTCAGGGGGTTCTACCAAACTCTTCCTCTACAGTATTGACAGTCCATCTTTCTCGGGAGATTCTGGCTCTCTCTTCTTTTTCAGCTAGTCAATTCCTTCTCAGGAGCATTCCAACCACTTCCTCCTCTTCAGTGTACATAGACCTTCTCAGAGATTCTGCCCTCTCTTCCTCAACAGGTAGTTTCAGCACTGCCTTCTCAGAAGATTCTGTCTGCCTCGTCTTCATAAGGTAACTTAACAGCCTCCTCCTCGGGAGATCCTGCTCTCCTTTCATCTACAGGCATAGTAATATTCCTTCAGCAGGAGGTCTAGCTGTCTGCTTCGTCTCCGCGAGACTGAATCTCATGCAATGGGATGGTTGTGTGATCACTTGAACCACAGGTGTGAAAGTAATTCTGTCAGGGGTAACTTGTGGTCCTGTGCTTTCATCTTGTTCAGGTACTACAGCCACCTTCTCAGGAGATTCTGGCCCTTTCCTCCCTTCAGCTACTACAACCTCCTTCTCAGGGGGTTCTACACCAGATCTTGCCATCTTTAGGTACTACAGCCTCCCCTTCTCGTCAGATTGTTGCCCTTTCCTCTCTTTCGGGTACTACAGCCTCCTCAGGAGACGCTGTCCACTCGTCTTCTTGTTCAGGTACTACAACCCCCTCAGGAGATTCCACATTCTCTTTCCCTTCGGGTACTACAGACCCCTTAGGAGACTCTGCCCTCTGTTCCTCTTCAGGTAGTACTACAGTTGTCCTATCTCTCTCTATATAAGATTCCTCACTTCCTTCACTGTCTATTTCTCCTCTATCAACTACCTCTGCTTTGCACGAATTGATTCAAATCTCTGGATCTAGATCACCTTTCTCAAGCAATTGATCTTCTACTGACTTTTCCAGAATCCATCTGTTGCCTCCTTGCCATCTTCTAGCACGTGCATGGCGTCCTGCTCTGACTTTTTTTCTCTTGCCTGGCGATTCTAACATTTTCCTGATATACTCGGGACTACCTTCGCTTACTCCATCACCACAGAAATCTGCACTAACATTTTTGTCACTATCTCTTTGCCTCACCTTTCTGCTTACTATAACGACAAGTTTCTTCTTGGGCTGCTTTGGTTCAATTTGCAGGTTCTTTAATCTCCTTTGTTCAAGTAACTGACGCCTCAACAGATTTTAACCGACCAGATCATTGCCAAATTTAAGGTTTCTCCGTGTGCTAACTCCTTAGCTTCACTACTATCCTTTACGCACTTCTTTGCTCATCGCTGACTCATATTATGGTTGTTTGTAATGATTCTGTTGGTACATTGTTCTGACGAAAATTATATCTAATGGCAAACTTCAGGCAAGATTCGTTCCAATTCGGCTGGGTCTTTGATGTGGTGATTCAGCATCAGTGTAGTACTGCAAATTAACGGACACCCTTTTCCTCCGGATTCTGTTTTAAGTTGCCTCGACATAAAACATGCTGTCAGGCTTTCTCAGCTCGAATTTTCGTTGAAATACATGTACATGGGTAAAGAGGTCGCCTCAAAAGATTTTGCGCCACATCGTCTGCTATGGGTGACCACGCGTACATCCCACAGGCAGCACGCAGCTGCCCTGATCAGCGAAACCTGCTATTCCTTTTCCTAGTTATACCACAGCGTTCATCAGGAGATTTTTCTCCTGTGTTTTTCAGTTCCGCTAGCTGCCAGCCTCCTTCGTAGGAGATTCGACCCTCTCTGCCTACTCAGTACTACATATCCTGCTGAGGCGATTTTTGCATCTCTCCTCCTCTTCAGCAACTACAGCACCCTTATCAGGAGACTCTGCTCTCTCTTCCTCTTCACGTATCGCAACCTCCTTCTCAGGAGATTCTGTTCTCTCTTCCCCGCACACGCCCTACAGCTGCTGTTTCAGGAACTTCTGAAATCTCGCCACTTGCTGGTACTTCAGGTACACACTCCTTTCCAGAGACGTCTCC